AAAAAAAATTGCAAACTCAAATTCAAAATTGCTAGATCTAGCAACTTAATGGCTAAAATGGCAGCACTGGCCTGAACCCTAAAAGCGAAGAGCCGAGCAAATACGAAGTGTYTGGGAGATTACGCTCGAAAATAAGTGTGCAAAACGCTTTACACTAGTTGTCTCATCTATGTGCTCTCTGGTTAGTGGCGCCACCAAGACTTGGTGACCAAGTAGTAAATTATCGATGGATGAAAAAACCAATCGATATATCATGAGAGCCCAAATCCATCGACACTATCAATAGTCTCCATCAATGGATTTGCAGCCCTAATGTCTAGTCTATGAGTTCTTAGGTTAGTGCGTATCCCAAAAACTCTTTCCAATCTCTGTTTTAATTTACATTACCAACGATATCTGAAACACGGATATACTTAGTGAAGAGTCAAGTATCTATCGGAATGCATTGTGTTTAGATATATCGATATTTGGTAGACTAGATTACACAAGCGGCCAATTCGTTCTTCATTTATTAATCAAAAATAATAATCCCCTTATAAAATGCCATTTATGAAAGGAAGAGAGCCTTTACGACGCACATTAAAATATTTAAATGCTGGCAAATTAGTTCTAAAGGAAAGGGTGCGTATATTCAGCGTTAGTTACAATACATATGGTAATCACCATGCGGGTGCCAGGTAAGAAGACATAATAGGGTGATGATGATGATAAAAATGTTTATCTTCTTACAGGGATTTCGTGTTTTGGAACATTCCACAGATTCAATTCAGAAATCCAGATGTGCAGGTGGTCACTTTTAAGAATATGACACCATCGCCCTTTGTACGCTGTTTCTTTGAGGATGGACGGGACATGATGATCGATGTTGATTCTAAAAGTCGAGAGGAAATCATTGAACATCTTGTCAACGTTGTTGGAAAAACTCGGTAAAACTCGGACAAACTATATCATCAGTACCTTTAATTATTATCATAAATTTTAGTGAGGAACTTGTCGCCGAGGCGCGTTTGGCAGAGAGTAAAGACAACCCGGCGAATTTTGGATACAGTTGCGAACGCCACTGCATATGTGAAATCGCCGGTCAAGTGTACTGCCCTGGAACAGAGCCACTACCAAAAGAAATGCGAGGAAAATTTAAATTTGCGCAAAAATAAAAGAATAATTTCGTTATATCTTAATAGCGAGCAAATAATATATTCAATTTAAAAGTGAGTTATGTAAGTAGTAGGGTATGTGATGTAGTTCCATGCTAGCGTCGGTTGGGAAGTTGACGCAGATATGATGCCGATGGCTTAGGTTTATTATATTTGCCGTGTGGTCTAGTATGTGGTGTGTCATCACGACTTTTGTTGAATTGGTAACGGTAGATAAAGGGAATATTTTCCTCTCGTGCGATGTTGAGTTCCAAATTGTTATCTGTCTGTCGCTCTAGAGTCCTAAGTTTGGCTTCTATGGCACGAATTGCGTCCGACTTGCTAATTTTATCTTCGCGCTTGCCTCGGCCCAGCGCGGGTATTTCAAGTCGAGGCTTGGGCCTTTGTAGATCATCCTATAAATGACAAGTAAAAAATAAGCTGAACCAGTTTTCCAGCAAGATGAGAAATTTATTTACATATTTTATGTTCTTAGCAAGACGAACAGCTATAGAACGACTACCAATATTTGATCCATCTAGTTTTATAAGTGCATTTGTGGCACCTTCATTTTTTTTAAATGTGATAAAGGCATACCCTCGCGACTGTCCTACCATTGGGCCACCCTTGTGAAATAACATGTCGAACTTTTCAACGGCACCGCATTTTTGCATTAGTTTGAGAAGTTGAAACCGATTGTTATCAAAGAAAAAGTATATATTAGCACAATTCAAAGAAATGAAAGCAAATCATATACAAATGCACAGCTCACAACTTACTCGGTAATGCGTGAATCAAGATTACCAACCCAGATACGCCGTTGTTCCTCAGAAATATCAGCGCTGTTTACATTCGCATTAACTTTACAATTTTTAGTTGGGATTTTCTACAAAAATGCATAATTAAATATTGTAAAATACTAGTTTAAATTAATTTATTTTAACTTACATCATTTGCCATTTTCGCTAGAGATGTTTTATTGAAATATCGATAGATGAGCTGAGAGGTACACTTGGTATCGCTTATTATTCTCGAACATTCATTCACTTAAACCACCACTTAAATTAATATTTTTTTTCGCCCAATTTTTCAAAGGATGGCGTCTTTTATTGAATATTTAAAGTTGTCGATAATGCTGTTGCAGCATAGCATCATAGTACTCCGCTGTTAAAAGACACAGTAGGCAGTGTTGCCAAATTAGCTTTTTTTCGTCAAATCTGTTTTTTTTTTTTTTTCAAAATCCAATTGTGGGAAAAATTCCAAATCAGTGGGCAGCGGGAATTCAGGATTGAATCACTAACCCAACAACACATAGACTAGACATGTAGAACAAACTTTTTCAACACCGAAAAATCTGTCTAGTAGCTACCAACACTTCGTATTCGCTCGGCTCGGTATTTGCTTGCTAGGGTAATGAAAGAAAGCACGACGAAATCAGTGCGCACAAATAATAACGAAAACGCATATATTTTGATGCTTGGCAAACGGTTTGAAGAGTTCGGCATACTCTTCACGCAGAAGGGAGGAAACGGCAGTCTAACGCAAAGAAATTTCAATTTTCGTGAGCTGCTGCTTATGCTCACATCCATACATACATATACATATTTGAGAGAGCAGAGAGAGCGAGAGAGCAAGAACAAAAATTGAGCGTAGATGCATCTTTTATTCAACATTTGACCATCTCGGTCGAGCGCATGAAGCGAAATGATTGTGTTTTCGTATATTTTAGTAGCCTGAACCACTAACCAGCAGTGTTGCCGAAACTTTTTCAGCAAAAGTAGCAAAATCGAAGGCTGAAAGTAGCTAAAAGTAGCCAACTTTCTTCTAAAATAGCTGAAAAAGTAGCAAAAAAGAAAACAGTGCCGTTTTTTTTTTATAAAAAGTCAACTTTATTAATTTAATTATTATAATATCTCATC